ATAAATAAACATACTATGTAAAATCATCGTCATCATTCACTCATAAAGAGTAAGATTTCATGAAACATACACATAGTAAGCAATAACAGTATAGCTTTTTCGATTTAATAAATTTCATGAGAGGTATAAAATATGAAGAAAAACAACCATGGGCCAGAAAACAACACTTTATGAATATAATGTCTATAAAACACCCGATTTCCACTATCCCTTAAACAAAAGCATTTCAAAAATTACACACGTACAAGAACTGTTGTGTACGAAAAGCCGTAGGCGAGGACAACGATGAAAGATACGTAGCAACCCTCCAAATGAAAAAGGGTAACAAGAATATGGGGGTGGTAATTTTAACTTTTATTCTAAAATATAGTGGGTTAGCGGGACGTATTCCATACGTAGTAGGGATGATAAAAAAATAAAAACCACTGCCCAAACTCGAACACCACTGTAATGATGAAGTATTGCACTGGTTGTAAACCATATATTAGACGACTCCAGATAAATACTTCAAATTAAACTATGGAAATCGCGTACAGCTATATGTAAGAAATTGATAGTTTAAAACTAAATTATTGTTATTTATTACATCGTGAGAAACGACTATTTTTTGTATGAAGGATTGCAGTGGCATAATAATTGATTACGATTTATTCAAAGAATTACCATAATATTATATATAGAGCTTATTATAAAACAAATAAATAATTTTATTTGTATTTTTCATAATATCAAAGTTAGAAGTATTCGTTTTCTTTATCTTGTATCAAACAACTATTCATAAATGTGTATAGTAAAAATATCATTTAATCGTTATAACTTTTATTGTTCACAAATTATTGTATTAAAACTAAAATATTATACAAGTATTGAGTTATTATTTCCTTTCGGTGTACTTTTTAAGATAAGAACATTTTTATACTTTCTAAGTAAAAACAATTAAGTTCAGTTTTATATAATATTTTAATACATAGCTTAATTTTTATAAACATTTAATGAATATATATAATATAATTTTAACATAATAATGACAACAATTTAATTTCAATTGGATCCAAAATCATCGAAAATAGACTATTTTCTCTGTAAGAAAAAAACTTCTTAGTAATTCCTTAAATTTTCAAAATTTTCTCAAAAGTTATAAAAAAATTCAAAAAATTATATTTTTTAAGTAAAAGCTTAATAATAAAAATATTTTCATAAAATTTTAAACTAATAACTTTTTAAGTAGTTCACCTAAAATGTGAAAAATAAAATGTAAGTCTCTTCATCTCAATCTATTCTTCCTACTTTAAGAAGCTTAAAAAAAAGACTGTTTAATTTTCATGGTTAAAAATTAAAATTCTTTAGCTTAAAATCAAAGATTTTCAAAACTGACTTAATTAATTTATAGAATTAATATTAGTTTTTCGTAGAATCAACGCAAATTTACTCTCGTATGACTATCTTCAAATGTTGGTTGTATGAATAAATTGTTTTTTAAGATATGAAGAGGCCAATTTTTTATAAATAAAATTAAAAACATCATAATACAAGCGATAATTGTATAATTAATTAGAATAATCAATTTGCTATAAAATACAAACATGTATAAACGAAAATTCTTTCTAATTATTTTTTTTATATTTAAGACCAATACTATATAAAATATAACATTGAATTTAACATAGGACATTTTTATGTATTTATACTACCCTACATTATCCAATAAAATATCGAATTTCAAAAGTATGCATTATTTAATATTTTCATACGATTTCATATTTTATAGAAGGTATAAAGCTAGCGCTAATATAAATTACAGTGAAGTAAATATAAGCATGTGAAATTAATTAAACACCTAAGGATTGAAACTATTCATATCTACGTTCTATTTTCATAGACATTTTTTTCCCTGCTTTCTAAAGATTTTATTTTTTTCTTCAATATTTTAACGGTTTTATCATTTCAGTAAACGATGGTAACTTTCATTATTACGAATTAGGGAATATAAAAAGTATACAAACAATAAATATCACATATATAATTCTATACGGAAAAAGTTCTAAAAATTTCAATCCGCTTTTACTATTACTAATAATTACAATATACGGACAACGAATTACGGTAAAAAATACATTTTCCGTGTAAACCGAATACTTAATAACCGATTTTTGTTATCTTTAATTGTTGAATACAATAAATTGTCGCCAAATTTAACAACAGTTACTTATTAAAGTTTTCAAAACTTTCTAGACACATTGTTAAACATATAAAACAGTAATTGGTCTCAGGCAGAAATTATAGTTTTTTCTAATGGTATGTGCCCTATGAAAACATGATTATCTCACCACAAAATAAATATATTGTATTTTCTTGTCTATATATAGTAAATAATTTAAAAATAAACAATGAGTAAAAATATAATTTGTAATAAATAAACTTAAATTATTTATTTTTATATTTAAATTATAAACAATTTTAGCAAGTACTAAACTCACCATAGAATAGATAACACTTCAAATATTTTGTAAAATAATATCTATCTGTTTATGAACTCTTATATCGTAATTTTAATTTTACACTTAAACTGTAATATACCTGTATTTTTAAGAGCTTTGTAAATAATAAAACAATCTTTGTAGATTTTTAAATTTAAGTTATTTCATATTAAATTTTTTTTTTTTTTATTTTTTTTTATATTATTTTTATTATTATTCTGTATCCTATATTGATACGATACCTTTTTGAAAACTCTTTGAGTAATTTTACCGATATATTTTATCGTTTACCCCTTGAACATATACTTTGCCTTTGACTTCCAATCACGTCTGAATAATGTTTTTTTAGCTCCTAAACTACGGTCCAAAACACCCCCAATGTTAGAATAAATTGCGTTATCTGAATACAAGGGTGAATAGATAAACATTCTATACTCTAGGATAAGTACATAGTTCAAACTAAATAAACCAGTCATTTTATTTTTTAAGGCGATTCCTCAAAAAATATCGTAATTCATTTTCAAAGACTTTAGTACACGTTTCTGGTCAAACAACAAAACAAATTTGATTGAATCATCTCAGATGACGTTCAATTTTTTGAATAATGTGCATAAATTGCATTTTTAGCGTTTATATTATCATACTTTTGATATGCAATATATTATATTGATGTACCTATAATATACAGTCACATTAAAAATGCATTATGAGTATCCATTTGTTACACACATTGATCCACTATACTTTAATACAATAAATCAAAAACAAATCATCAACGTCTAAGCCTATAAATGCGTACGTTTCAAACGACTAAACAGATTTCCACTTCAATTTTTTTACGATGATTGAAAGTTACTACTTAGGTACTCTACTTAGTTGACGAAACCGCTCACAATAACAAAATGTATTATAATTTATTGTCATAAAGTCTATGTACATACTCTATTTTAAGGCAAGTTTTGTAACTGTAATAAAATTTAACTTTATTTTTTTTAATAGTATTTATAAATACTCTGGTTGCCATAAAAATATATTATTCTTTTTAAATAACCAAGTATGATAATTAAAAATAATGAATGCAAGAATGAACTCCCTCTAGTAAAAAAAAAAAAGTTAAAAAAAATAACAATAAATTGCTTAAATTGTGCAATAATTCAAATTATAATAAATGGAGTAACATATTTACTATACTTATGTGTTATTTATAATTAACAAATTTTTAATTTAATTAAATACATTTTTAATTTGTATATTTTTATAACTGCAAATTAATTTGAAATCCCACTTATTTAATTTTTATATATTAAATTAATAACGTACATAATTAGTTTTCAAAGGCTTAAAAAATGTAAATACTAAAATATTACGTTTGTATGATTTACACATGCTTCCAACCACAAATCGTAATATTTATATGAATTTTTTTTTTTTGATATCGATACTATAATATTTAATAAAACAGTAGTTCTTCAAAATATATATTAAAATGTTAAAAATACTCATATAATCCGGTACGGAGAATATTTAAATAAAATTAGAATAAAAATAATTTTAAAAAATATTACTATAACTGTTAAAAATATAGATTATCAAAAATTAATGATGAATTGATCCTCATTATAAAATGACGAGTTTTTAAAATATAAAATACAATATACTTGAGTTTCACAAAATGTTGTTTAACTCGTTAAATTGGATATTGTCTCGAATTCTTAATAACTAATTAAAAATTTAAACTACTTCAATCATTAATTATGATGTATAATAAATAATAATATACCTATTATATATTTTGATACATAATTTATAATAGGTACAAATAAAAAATAAAAATATTATTTAACCTCCGTCGTAAATGTATTATTACTTTTATTATTTGTTATGTTTAAATACGCACTTAAATTAGATAATATTTAAATAGTTTATAACTACACAAATATTTTTTAATTGTAAAATATAACTTTTATTTTTATTCTTTCAAATATACTTCTTATAATTCAAATATATACAATATTTAATAACTGATTGTGTTTTAGATGAAATTAGAAAATAAAATAATTGAATTTTAAACTGGAAAATATAATTATTCTTTAAAAGCGAAATCTGTTTATATTATAGGTACACATTATTAAACACGTCATTATTCTTGTCAAGTGTAAAATAATTATTGTAAATAACAAAACATAAATTAATTTAAATTCCTACTGCTTACTTATCGAATTAAATATTATATAAGTACTTAATATTTATGTATTTACGTACTTTGGTACTTAGTCATTAAGCACCGTAATATATCCTTAACTAATATTAAATACTATAGCTAATATAATGATAAGGCAAAATAAATCAAATTCTAATTGTTTTTCTTCGATTATACTATATATTTCGAAAGTAAAAAATTTTTACCAAAATCGAAATACAAAAAATTATTTTTTACAAAATGAACATATTCCCAATTTTTTTTCATTCAACCTAAGCATCAATTAATTTACCACAACATTATAAATTATGTTAGAAACGTACCTGTTGAATCAATCGCATAGACGTCGGCCCCCAAAAGGCTGACAAGGAAGCAGCACGCAATGCACGCGGCATGTGATTCGGCCGGCCGCCACATTACTACTAACGGCGGGATTCTCTTGCAAACTCAGCGTGTTGTTTAAAATTCCGCCGCCGCCACCCCGACTTAAAACACCACCGATATAACGGTAATAACCGCATGCGTGTTTAAAAAATAAAATGTACCCTAAAATACATGTTATTACTGGAATGACCAAAATCGTTGTTAATATTGATACGATGGGTAGATACAGTTCTTATTCAAAGGCTTTGGTTAAAAGTTATGCAGTTATATAGAAAAAATGAAAATCATAGAGAGTTTGTATTATTTTGAACAGTAACCAAAGTCAATATTTCGGACAGTTCATGCAATTAAATATAAAATATTATTCATTTTACATAATTTATTATTACATATTTTAATAGGTAGAAAATAATTATTCCTATAGTTTTATTGTAAATTTCTAACAGAAATATATAAATATAAATTAACATTAATACTTAGAGTTATTGGTTTTTAGAAATGATGAGTATCTATTCTGTAAATAACTGTGAGTCATACATAAATTTAAAAATCAAATTAATTTTACTATAATTATATTGTCGTGTTATTATTTTATTTTTCTTCTTGTTTACACGTTTCGTAATTTTTTTTAGATAAATTTTTGAACAATAATAAAAGTCTTATCTTATCTTGTAAAATTTATTTCCTGGTTTATATCCGCAGTATGTAAATCAAATAATAGAAAGTAGAATGTATTCATTTACCAATGGCTTTAATTAAAAGCGGTTAGTTAATAATAATATTATTATAAATCGACTTTAAAATATACCTATTATGTTTATACATTGTTTATTATTAGTAAAGATTTAGTAGAATTTTAGAATGGTGAAGGAGCTTAAATTGTGTTTTAATAAAAATTAAAGCTATATTAAATAACCGCACTTCCTACAATTACCAATGTTTAAATTTTTTTTTATTCCCTTCCTATATAAATACATAATATATTTTTTATAACAAAATTATATATTACTGTAAATAATAATAATTAAACACAATATTTTTTTTAAGAGCAAAAAATCAAAAATGGATGTCAAACCTTTTATTTTTATTGAATAACTAAAGTATATCTTTAAGACGAGTTGTGTCGAAGATAAAAATAAACTATTAAACCCAAAAATATTCTATAAATAATCAAAATTATAAATTTTTTTAAAACAATATTCGTCTCAAATATTTCATACTTTAAAATAATAACACTCTTCAAACGCTCAAAAAGGACATATATTCACTATTTCCGCCTGTGATTTACATTATTATATATTATATATAAACTTTGCAGAGAATTTCTCAGTTATTTAAGCAATTTTTAATATGCGATCACACTGGATGTTACTATAATTTAATTTTAAACGCATTTTATACTTAAAATTTTATATAATAAACTCTAAAGAGTCAGAAAATTTGGGTAATTATTTCTCCTCTGGCTATTTAAAATCAGACATGATACATACCAAATTATCTACCCTAACCTAACCTTGTAAAAAAAAAAAAAACAACTGGAGAATATGGCACCAAATATTTAAAAAGTCATAATATTGTGATTTCAAGCACTAAACGAGCATTTAACCTAATCGCCGTCAATTATGTGTGACTCATAGGTACCTTAACATAACGATTTATTGTTAACGTCAACTTCAAACGATACGCCGTTGCTGCCCGTAATCCAATATAATTTTGATTTCATCACTTATTTTAAATGTGTTTGGCATGGGATGTCGTTGAAGGAAGTAATCAGCATTATGAAGAGTTTGAAAATTTTAATCTATCAGAGGAAAAAATAAGAAGTTATATCTGAAATCTATACGTTCAATACCGTATCAATTATAATGACCCTAGCTTTACCTACAGACTAGTTACACCATTGTTTATAGGTTTATGTCTATGACCTACAGTTTATACCAGTTGCACCAATTTTATCTATACATATATCGATAAACTTCTGTATAATCACTTATTGATTATCAATAGTTGCATAAAACTGTGTATTGTGAGTATAATACACACACATCACACACGCACACACGCATATAATATATAATATAAAATAGGTATTTATTTACATTTATAATTCTAATACCTAAGCATTAAAAATAAACTTATATCTTATGATTTTCCCGACGGAGTTAAAAGCAATAGTCTATCGACGATGTTTTTTCGAAATTTTAAGAAAATTTAAAAATTATTGTATATTACTATTAAAATAAAATATCCAAAGTATTTAAAGTATACAGGTATACTAAATCAATATATGTTAAGGGTTATAGGAACAAAAATCTAAAATAAAACTTCAGCATCTACATATTCAAATTATGGAAGAACCTAAGTAAACCACAGCTATGTAAAAAATTAATCAGCCTCTCCCCCTCCCACCACCGAACAAAAATCCTGACTACGCCACTGCGTTGGTGATATCAACGAACCGCACCACAAGCGAAATTTGTCTGCGTACAACACACTTACGGTAACCGAGTTATAATATAACATATTACATATATTATGTTAAATGCCGTATTGCTAAACAACAGAATAGGCATTGGTTTCAATAAAAATGTGATTGTGTCTATCCTTACAAGAAATCTTTAAATAATATGACTAATATGAATAATATGAATACCATTAAATTCGTCCTACCATAACGTACCACCCTCGACTCGTCATACTATAATCCTTTGGAAAATGGTGGATCCGAAATTGATATACTCATAAATATATATACAAAATTTAGTTGCACCATACGGTGTACACCATGGTTCATGGCTATTAACATAAACACTTCTTGATGTACATAATATACGCCGCCGATAAGACAGTTCAATCGAAAATTAAACAGTGAGACGGACGTGCTGACAAATTTTGTCGGTGACTGTATTTCATTACACCGTACGTTGTGAAGTCGAGTAAAAATCTTAACTTGTAAAGAAAATATCACAGCTACGTTGCATATCATATTATCGTATCCAAAAGTTGAGCTTGTTCCAACTCTAGATATTTTCCGGTAGATAATTTTTAGTCAAGCTAAACAGAATGCAATAAAAGTACACAACGTGACAGACGACGTAGTTGCGCTACAGTCTTAAGAAACAGATTACCATTATTCTGTTACCAACATATTATGATATACGAAACACAACATATAATACGACTCTATAGATTCACTGCAAACCTACAGCGGAAATTACGACGATTACTGTCTCGTGAGTATAAACTTTATACAATATGGATCATGGTCAGCTAATGACATGTACACTGCATTTATGACACGGCTACCATGTATATACCGCTTCATATTATTGAACGATTATTATCATATCCGTTGTTTAATAACATATTTCCTCAACCTAACAAATAATTGAACATTATCTGTTTCGTCGTGTGATTATAGATTGAACACAAACTGTGTACCTACCTAATTATTGTTTAACTCATTTAAGCCGGATTTACTCTACACCATATGATATTCCGTGTATTTAATACGTAGATAACAACATTTTGGCAACATGATACATACAAGTTGAATATATTATATTCAACATAACATGAACGATACGATGTATAGTATAAATTCGGCTTTACTCTTATCAAGTAGTATGATTAAGTTATGTGGTTACGATGCAGTGACACTGCGCTAAATCTAGGAATAGCTCACACGACATCGGTGAAATAACAAATTTTCCATTCAACTCAAAACCCCGAGAATATTCGGTGATTAATTTTTCAGAAAAACAGTAGTCACCGATCGCCTTATCAACGTCTATCGATACCATTCGTTCCCAGTAATTCTCGTTTAAGACTAAAGCAATGAAAAACTTATTGTGTGAGTATACTCGCGAACAGATAACCACAGAAATATAGGTACGTTGTCTCGATCAATCAGTCAATTTGAAGAAAACGCAGTCGTTGCCAGTCTTTTTCTCAGCGTCTACAGTGTCATATGATTATCGATCGAACTGTTTTTACGTCATTATTACGTTAGTATTGAACAGTATAACTTCACGTTGAAATTAGTATTTTATAATTCCTACTCAAATCGCTTTCGGTCCAACTAAATGTGACACTTAGCTTACCGTGTGTACAAAAAGCACGTCAGTCACTCACATAAAATATTCACAGCTAGCCTTGTACTTGGACTACTCTACGATCGCTGTTTATAATCATTCATTTAAGAATAGTCGCGCAACGTATTAATTGATTATATCAAACTATGAAATCAAAATCGGGTAGATACTGTAGGCCTTTCAATGTTTGTATTGTACATAAGGTTCCGTTCCCGGCAACATCGACGCATCGTTTGACATTTTTGGCTTTTTGGTTTTTAAAAAAAAATCTTGATATCCGTCATTTTTTGTCACATACAGTTTTGAACACCCAGTGTAATTGCACAATACTAATATAATTGTAAATAAGAAGTTTGTTGTAATCAGTAATAATATTACAAGAATTGTTGAGAACTATTCATTTTTTTAAATAATCAATTTTTCCAAGACGTTATAATTATATGTTTTATATCAAATTTGATAAAATTTATTTTTATATACAATAATATAATATATTCTAGGCCTTAGTACAGTGTTTTCCAACCGATGGTCCGTGGGTCAGTCATAGGTGGTCCGCGATACCTTTCTTCGTTTTCTATTAAAAAATTATTTATTTTTTTTAACAGCGAAAAATATTTTATTTTACCGTAATATACGATTATCTTATCGTTGTTTCTGCCGACGACCAATAAGTATTTTCTATTTTTATAAGTGTCTCTGATACCTATCACAGTAATAAATTATACTATTATCGCGACCGATAATGATCATGTCAATTTCAAATATCGTTGCTTATATATTTATACTTTATGAGTACCGACAAATAACTGTTATGGATATTGATTCAGTATGCGCTCGTTATTCGTTTGATTACCACGCAGTACGTTTTTGAAAATTAACATTTTTCGATAAATTTTATGTATTCTTGTTAATGAGCAAAAAAA